ATATATATATATATATATATATATATATATATATATATATATATATAAACCTGCAGGACTTGTACACTGACAACTATAAAACATTGTTGAAAGAAATTAAAGAAGACTGCTATTGTGTGAATGTCCCCTTCAAAATTCATGTTGAAATTTAATTGCCATTGTGCTGATATTAAGAAGAGAGAATTTGCCAGGTGCAAGTTTATAATCTCAGCAATTCCGGAGATTGAGGCAGGAGGATTGCAAGTTCAAAGTCAGCCTTAGGGCAACTCTGTCTCAAAATAACCTTTATGGCCAAGCTCTTCTGGCCACACAGGCAGGAGGATGGCATGTTTGAGGCTAGCATGGGAAACTTAGTGAGACTCTGTCTCAAAATAAAAACTAAAAAGGGCTGGGGTTATAGCTCAGTGGTAGAGCATCTCTGGGTTCAATCTTCAGTACTAAATAAAAAAATAAAGTCAACTGATTGACCGATGTTTTTCCCCAAGCAGGAGTCTATTTATTTATTTATTTTTGGTACTGATGATTGAACCAGGGGCACTTTACCACTGAGCCATATCCCCACCCCTTTTTATTTTTTATTTTGAGATAAGGTCTCACTAAGTTACTTAGGGCCTCACTAGGTCACTGAGCCTGGCCTCAAACTTGCTATCCTTCTTCCTCAGCTTCCCAAGTCACTGGGATTACAGGTATGCACCACCATGCCCAGCCTGGCTACAAGAGAATTTTATTATGTGTGAAAGTATAGTAAGACTCAAAGAGGGGCTGGGGATGTGGCTCAAGTGGTAGCACGCTCGCCTGGCATGCGTGCGGCCCGGGTTCCATCCTCAGCACCACATACAAACAAAGATGTTATGTCCGCCAAAAACTAAAAAATAAATATTAAAAAATTCTCTCTCTCTCTTAAAAAAAAAGACTCAAACAAAGAACACTCTCCAGAGAGAGTGAGATGTCTCAAAGTAGAGAATAACCAGACTACAGATGTTGACCACAGGTACAAAATACTTTCACAGGCTGATCTGTTAGTTCCAGCAACTTGGGAAGATGAACCAGGAGGATCACAAGTTGAAGGCCAGCCTGAGCAACTTATCAAGACTCTGCCTCAAAATAAACAATTAAAAAATTGCTGGGTGTGGTGGCACATGCCTGTAATCCCAGTGGCTCAGGAGGCTGAAGCAGGACAATCACAAGTTGAAAGCCAGTGTGAGCAATTGACCAAGGCCCTAAGAAATTTAGTGAGACCCTGTCTGTAAATAAAATATAAAATAGGGCTGGAGATGGGGCTCAGTGGTTGAGTGCCCCTGAGTTTAATCCCTAGTAAAATAAATAAATAAATTAGAAAGGGGGAGAGGGGCTGGGGTTATAGCTCAGCAGTAGAGCACTTGCCTCCCACTTGTGAGGTATTGGGTTCGATCCTCAGCATCACATAAAAGAGAAATAAATAAAATAAATAAAGATATTGTGTCCATCTTTAAAAAAAAAGAAAGAAAGGTGGGGGATATTGCTTAGTGTCAAAGCACCCCTGGAGTTCCATCTCCTGTGTCAAAATACCTTCACAGCAACATCTAGATGAGGATATGATTAAATACTCAGGGATTATAGCCTGGACAAAGTGACATAATTAACTATGACAACAGCCTGTATTCATGGATTGGAAGACTTACTTTTGTTAAGATGGCAGTATTGGGGCTGGAGATGTGGCTCAAGCGGTAGCATGCTCGTCTGGCATGCGTGTGACCCGGGTTCGATCCTCAGCACCACATACAAACAAAGATGTTGTGTCCGCCGAAAACTAAAAAATAAATATTAAAAAAAAAAGATGGCAGTATTCTTGAATGTGGTGCACAGATTCAAGTCAACCCCCACCAAAGTCCCAGCTGGGTTTTCTGCAGAAACTTTCATGTTTATCCTAAAATTCATATGGAAATATAAGTGACCCTGAATACCCACAACATTCTTGAAAAACATCAGATTTAGAGAACTCATAATTTGAGTTTCAAAACTTACTGCAAATGTCAAAAATCTAAGTATGTGACCCAGCAATTCCGCTCCTAGGTATATACTCCAAACAAATGAATATGTCTTCATGCAAAATGTTGTACGCAGGTGTTTGTAGAAAAAATATGTAGAACAGGCAAAAGGTGGAAACAATTAAAATCTTTAATGATTGATGAATAGATTAATAGAATGTAAATATCCATGCAATGGAATATTATTTGGCACTAAAAAGAAATGAAGTCCTAAACCATATTATAATATGGGTAAACCTTGGAAACTTTAAGAACTCAGACATATTCATATTTTATAATTTCGTTTATCTGAGATGTGCAGAAGAGGCAAGTCCATAGTCTGAAAGTAGACTAGTTTTGCCAGGCTTACTGAATGGGAAGGGAGAGTGACTTTTTTAGGGTATGGGATTTCTTTTGGGGGTGATAAAAATGTTCTGGAATTAGTGGTGATAGTTGCACAACTCTGTGAATATACTGAAAGCCACTGAATTGTATACAATTAATGAGTGACATATGATAGGTGAATCCTGTCTTAATAAAGCTGCTTAAAGAGAAAAGGGAAAGGAAAGCAAGGCAATATCCTCAGTCCCATTCAAGGTCGTGGTAGACTGCTGAAGGAGCCAGGTGTAAGAGGCTGTAAGCCTAGAGTCCTCGTGCTGGTCATTTGCGTGTTATTAGCCACAGGCCCTTTGGGTTGTGACCGTCAGGGGAGTCCTGTGCTAGGACCGCGAGTCCACCCCTGGTGTGCACCTGACTGGCCAGGACAAGGGAGACTTCGCACCCGCAGCAGGTGGCCCGGGGCGCGGGCCCCCGGCGGCCGGGTGGGGCGGGCGCGCCCCAGAGCCCAGGGGGGTGTGGCACGGGCACGCGCGAGTTCCAGGTTGCCCGAAGCAGGAGGCGGAGGGGGGTGGTGCTGGGTGGCGCGCGCCGCGGACGCGGCCATTGAACGAAGGGGGTTGGCTTTCAGGGCCAGGTCTCCGGCGGGTGATGGGGGGCCGGCGCTGCGCTTCGAAGCTCCCAGCTCCAGGGAGAAGCGGCCCGCTTCCTGCGCGCCCCTCTGCTCTAGCTCCCTTGGCCGGCCCTCCCTGGTCGCCCCCGCCCGGCGCGGTGGTACAGTCCGGATTTAAAAGGCCCAGCGGCCGCGGGCTGGCCCAGTGTGTGGGCGGCGGCGGCGGTGCGCTCGGGGCACGGGAGAGGCAGCGGGGGCGCGCGGACGGGGCTGCTGTGGCAAACGGGGCGCGTCCACGTGGCTGGCGGGCGGCCACCCGGAGCCAGCGACGGCGGAGGGATAGGTAGGTGGTCGCCATCCCCGTCGCCCGTGCAGGGACAGTTTTCTCGGTGGCCAGGGATTCGGGCAGCCTGGGGGTCATGCTCGGCCCTTCGGGGGTCAGGCACTGCCCCTGCCTTTGGAGCGGGTAGGGACGGCCAACCTGAACCCAACCCCCTTGCCTGATAGAGTCTTTGTAGCCGAGTGGCGGCCCTTGAGAACATTGCTGCGGCACCTCCACCGACTGAGGTCTTCGAGGGTCTCCTGAGGGGTGCTCCTGGAGAGGGCTGGGCTAGCTGGGATAACACGGTTGTGGGGCACTGGGGACAGGGCGCTGGACCCACGTCTCTGCGTGTGGCTGTCCCCATCATCTGGCTCTCAGCTGGCAGGGCTACAGCTGAGGGGCTGGGTACCTGTGATGCCCAAGGTTGCCACCTTACAGATGGGGGCTGGGGCGGGGTCTTGGGCTACAAATCCTGCCTCTCTAGGACTACTTCCCCACCTGTCTGAGGCCTGTTCCTAGACTTGTCTTCCTGCAAGGTGTATAGGAGGTGGGGGCAGGATGCGGTCTCTCTTCTTTGCCTTCCATTCTTCTCAGGCTGTTGCATTAGGGGTCCAGGATGCAAACCTGACAAAAGAACCCCAGAGAGATGATCAATGGGATCTGAAACTTTGCGATTTCAAGCTGGGCCTGCTCCTTGTTGTAGCAAATGCAGTTTTCCCTTTCTCTCTTTGGTGCCTCCTTGGTTTGGCTTCCTGCACCCTACATGCTGGGTACCCTCTGTTTCCCTTGGGGATTGGGTCCTGGGAGAGAAGCACTGCACTCTGCCCCACTGGCAACCACTACACTGCCTTGCTGTCTTTTCAGACTGGGGCTGGCTGGGTGTGGCCTGGGGGCGAAGTGCCAGTCCTGGCACTGGCCCTATGGCCCCTGCCCCATCTCTCCAAGGCCTCAACTGCATTTGGGGATGTTGCTTCCCAACTAAAAGTCTCCTGGGACTGTCAAGGGTGGGTTTGAGCCCCCTGTACCTCTCCTTTCCCAGCTAAACTCTGGATCTGCAGGGAGAGCCATGCAGGGCTGCCTGGGCATCAGTCTGGCTGTGCCTGAGCAAAGCTTGACTTAATGTCTGTCTCGGTTTGTGGCTATGGGGACAAATGAGACTTGCTTTGTGTTGCAGCGAGGAGGCCAGACAGCAGGCTTCTGGACAGCCAGCTGAGGCCCTGGGGTGGGTGAAGGAGGCAGCTGGGACCAGGAGCAGGGGATGTGGTAGCTCGGAAGCCAGCCTCAGGTGTTGATTACCCAGAGGCTCCTGGTAGCAATGCCATTCTGGGGTAGCATCCCTCCCCCTTCCCCAGGCTTGTGATTGTTCTCTCCTTGTGTTTCCCTTTTCCCAGCTCAGGCGTGGGTTATCTGGGGCCTGGGGCTTCCGCACAGTTGCCTTCCCGTGGGGCTGGCTGCTGTCAGCTCTGGGATGTGGTCTCAGTTCCAGGAGGGCCTTCCACCCTGTCTTCCCAAGCATCTGACTGTGCTGCCCCCTTGGGTGTGGCCCAGCTGAGGCAAGGCCTCCTGGCTCCTTTCCAGAGTGGGAGTGGGGTAGGGGGTGGGGAATGATTGATTGCCCCCAAGCCTGCCTGTGATGCTGCTCACTCATGTGCCCTGCTTGAGGCCTCTCCTCTTTCCCAGCCGTGGTCACCATCTGGGATTCTGGCATGGTGGTGGGTGAGCAGCTCTGGTCCCCTGTGGCCCTGGGCCAGGCAGGCCAGGAGGAAGGCAGGCAGCGTGGGCCTCTGACTCCCATTTGCCATCTCTCCTCAGGCCCATACCCGGCACAGCTGCTGGCCATGCCCACTGTTTGCCTCCTGCTGCTGCTCTTCCTCACCATGGAGGAAGGTCTGGGTAGCAGCAGGCCCTTCCGTGCCTTTGTGGTGACAGACACCACACTCACCCACCTGGCTGTTCACCGAGTGACTGGGGAGGTTTTTGTGGGTGCAGTGAACCGGGTCTTCAAGCTGGCCCCCAACCTGACTGAATTGCGGGCCCACGTCACTGGGCCTGTTGAGGACAATGCTCGCTGCTACCCACCCCCCAGCATGCGAGTGTGTGCCCACCGCCTGGTGCCCGTGGACAACGTGAATAAGTTGCTGCTCATAGACTATGCAGCCCGTCGCCTAGTGGCCTGTGGCAGCATCTGGCAGGGCATCTGCCAGTTCCTTCGCCTGGATGACCTCTTCAAGCTGGGTGAGCCTCATCACCGCAAAGAGCACTACCTGTCAGGGGCCCAGGAACCTGACTCCATGGCTGGTGTCATTGTGGAGCAGGGCCAGGGGCCTAGCAAGCTATTTGTAGGCACTGCTGTGGATGGCAAGTCAGAGTACTTTCCTACCTTGAGCTCCCGCAAGCTCATTGGCGACGAGGACAGTGCTGATATGTTCAGTCTGGTAGGTGAACTGTGCCTGTCCACTCAGTCTTCCTAACCTGCTTCTTATGACCCCAGTCCCTATCCCCTGTTTCCTTTACTCAGTCCTGGTTCTTGAGAGAGCCCTTAGTCTGGGAGGGGAATTTTTATCCACTCACTGTCACAGAGATGCAGACAAGCTGTTGACGGAGGGAGGACAGCCTGAGCCTACCGTGGGGACCCCGTCTATGGGGGAACTAGTTATCCTTTCCTCTGTGGTCTTTCTGCCCTGGGTTCCTGTGATTGTCCACGCAGGGCAGGTGGGGGATCATGATGGAAGCCCCTGGTGGGTGGTGGTGTTGGAGTAGGGCTGGAAGGTGTAGGTGGGGTGGGTAGTGGGGCCTAGGCTTCATCTTATGCTTGTACTTTGCCTGCTCCCCAGGTGTACCAGGATGAGTTTGTCTCCTCTCAGATCAAGATCCCCTCAGACACACTGTCCTTGTACCCTGCCTTTGACATCTACTACATATATGGCTTTGTTAGTGCCTCCTTCGTGTACTTCTTGACACTGCAGCTAGATACCCAGCAGACTCTGCTGGACACAGCAGGCGAGAAATTCTTCACGTCCAAGATTGTGCGCATGTGTGCAGGGGACTCGGAGTTCTACTCATATGTGGAATTCCCCATTGGTTGTTCCTGGCGTGGTGTGGAGTACCGTTTGGTGCAGAGTGCCCACCTGGCCAAACCTGGCTTGCTGCTGGCCCAGGCCCTGGGTGTGCCAGCTGACGAGGATGTCCTCTTCACCATCTTCTCTCAGGGCCAGAAGAACAGGGCCAGCCCACCTCGGCAGACCATCCTCTGCCTCTTTACCCTCAGCAACATCAATGCCCACATCAGGCGCCGTATCCAGTCCTGCTATCGTGGGGAGGGCACATTGGCCCTGCCCTGGCTGCTGAACAAGGAGCTGCCCTGCATCAACACCGTGAGCTCCTTGCCCACCCCACAGTGTTCCCAGGCTGGGCTTGGCAACTCTGCTGGCCTGCCCACTTCTTGGGCTGGATATCCAGTTTTAGGCTTGGCATGGCCCTGGGA